CGCTCCGTCAGATTCACCGCAGTTTCGCTGGATCGCGTCGAGAAATGGAGTACATTTTGAGGTACGTTTGGGAACCATTCTCAAAACACATAACGCGGGATATTGGATTTTTTAACTACCCTCCTCTTGTGACACACTCTTAACAAGGGTCTGGGCCCCCTGCGACAATTATGTACCGCCCAAAGTTTGAATTTTGAAAGTGTCGGGAGTTTCTGGCGCACATTATGGGCCGCATATAGCAGAAAGGTACCATCTATTGCCAAAAATTTGGCAATTATTGTTTTTCGGGAAAATGGTTGTGAGGATGTTTGTGCAAATTTAGTGAATTTTCTGCCTAACTCGAAGCAAATCCTTTTCCCTTTTAAAGGAATCCGCACAAACGTAATTTAACTGCTAAGTTAAATTTGGAAATAGCTGATTTGACTTGGTTCCTTATTGCCAAACGCGGTTCTTAATGTAAACAGGAGCGCATGATAAACAAAGGAAAATATTGTGTCTGGAAAAAATCAAATAGTTTGTGCCAAGGGGGAAGGAAAGAAAACCTTCAAGTAGATAGGTCAACAAAAAGACCCATTGAGAGAGTTGGAGGTCCAGGCATGTAAGTGCAGTTTTTGCTTGAGAAATACATGTTTGAAGTTTCGAAATTACACGGATCCCTATGGCGGAAAGAGACATCAAACTGATTTTTTGAAGCTTAAAAATTGAAATTTTGGAGCGAATTTTTCACAGAATATGCAGTAAGACTAGTTTCACTTGAACTCATTTATATCTCATGTTTTCAAAAACTGCACTCAAGCGCCTTATCCTCCACGCCCCTCCGTTGTTTTCCGAAAAAGTTAGTTTCCCTCTGCATAACTCAATAAACATGATTTTTTGGAAATCGGCATAAGTTGAAATCATGAAATAATGCATCGTAAAACCTTTGAATTGGGCGTATTTCTGTCAAACGGAACTATATGCATAATGGCGTGAGCCCTGTTATGAATATATTCCTATGGGTCTCAGGGCTCATGTCTTAATGCACATAGTTCCGTTTGACAGAAATACGTCCAATTCACGTAATAAGATAGACGAAATGTTGCAAATTATTTGTCTCACTTTGTACTTATAATCAAGCTTCATCAACCTCGAAACGACTTTTTACTTGAAATGCGAAGCACGAACGATCATACGCCTTGACGCTCCCGGAGTCAAGTGACCAGAATTTAAATACTAAAAATACTTGCATATTGACATATTCTACCGACTAGTCCTAAAATAATTTAGAAATTTGAGTGAGGACATTGGCACCGTTTCAGTAGTGCAATCTGGCGTACACGCATCTTTCAGTTTCACGCCTCGTTCACGGCTGTCTCACAGCACTTAAGTTCAGGGTTTCGCATCCTTTTCGGTGGATCAATGATTTCTAAGTTTATTTTAAATGTCGTAAATTGCTTTTTATTAAGCTATTAAAACCCAAATTATCGTGTATTTCATCATGTACTAATATGCAACATATTTTCGGTTTTAATTTAAAATGGCCTTAAAATTTGGGTCTCTGAGCTAAAATTGAAAAGCAATTGACAAAAATATTTTTAAACTTGACCAAAATTCGATGAAAACTGATCAAATTTTCTTACGCCAGACCTAACTTGGAGGGCATGAAAAATCCTGAACAAAACCCTTATGTGGAAACACCTGTTGAGATGAATTTTCATTGTGATGTCATTAGTGCATCACAAAATTACACAAATATAATTTAGAATTGGTAAAAAAGTACAAAATATGTACTATAGAGTTACTTGCTGATCAAATAAACGTTGGCCTCCATAAGGTTTCCGAGCTTGCTTACTTTTAATTTCTGTAAGTTGGGTTTTAAAAACGGAGACATATTATTTAATAAAAATCGGAATGTATAGAGACGTACAAAATTGAATTGATGACTTCAATACTCGGAAAATGAACGAAATATTAGCCGACAAGCCGGGTGCCTGCCTACCTCTGTAAGGCGGATTCTGATTAAAAATTATTTAATCAAATAATTATTATCAAAATATCTCGCTCATTTTATGAGTTAAATTTATCAATTCCTCTCAATTTTACGTCGGGTTTTCACCGCAATACAACACTTTTAGTTTGTCACCTCGGTTTTTTCAGTCTCCGATGATGTCATTTGCTGTCTATAAAAATGATAATTTTAGTGTTTATAAGTTCTTATAGGATTGTAACTATTCTACTGTTCCTCTTTTTACGCATGACTAGCTATTTCTTCTTTCGCCAGCGGTGAACCTCTGCACTCGACCATAAAAGTAGATGAATCATCAAAAAATTACTCGCTATCACGCAATGTTGCTGTAAACGTTATGGATAACATACCAGCCAGAAGATTTTTGACCGTTCGTCTCCTAGTGTACGGGACGATTGTCGACCGTTTGACCTTGATTCAGCATTGCGCAATATGGATTAGTTACTTAGATCGTGGAAAGAATTTTCCGAGCGGATTCGCCTATACCTCCTATCCTCACTTTCCACCGCAGCACCCTGTAGAAGACAAAAAGTTTGGGCGCAACGACTTAGAATTTTCCGCATAATGTAACGCCCGAAGATTTTGGGGGATTTCGCAGATCCCTGATTAGAAATGAAGATAATATCTAGTGTGGAAGGGGGTTCACTGAGTTCGAACACCTCTCCTCGCTCCAGTATGACATGAAACTCCTTCCACTTACGTTCTAGAGTAGGTATGTGATATGGTGTAATGGGGAAATGAAGGAAAATCTTAGCTCTTCGTTTGTCTCAAATTACTGTCGTGTCTGGAATCTGGATGCTGGATGTATAGGTCCATTTATACGATCAAATTGAGCCATCAAATTGGGCCTCTAATTGGTCGCATCCTCACCTCAGGTCTTTTTCCACCAATCAGAGCTTCAATTTGATGGCTCAATTTGATCCTGTATAAACTGGACCATAAGCATTATCGTTGAATGTTGAATGCGGAAATCAAGCGCGCGGCTATTCGAACTCAAAACTAGTTATGTGACAAGAGACTCACGCGAAAATGAAGGGAAATCTTATTCCTAGCTTTTCTCTTGCCTCTACTAATAACCAACGTTTATGGATACTGTAATATTATGCCCGCATCCTTGTATGCAGAAATCTAGCGCGCAACAATTCCAACTCCGAACTAGGTATGTGATGTGGTATCGCGCGGAACGGAAGGAAAATCTTGTTGTTAGCTTTTCTCTTGCCTCAAATTACTGACGTTTATAAATGTAACATTATGCTCGCATCGTTGAATGCGAAAATTTAACGCGCAACTATTCGACCGGACTCGCGTAATTTTCCCATCCAGGCCGTTAAGAACCCCCCCCCCACGGCTTGAAGCCATCGATACTCAACTTCATTCTTCAACGGAATCGACTAACTCTTTAGCCAAAAAATGAGCATCGTATCTGTTGACAAGATCTTCCGCTGACCGTATCCGTTGAACTTCCTTAAAAACTTTCACTAGTGGATATTGATGTCAGTGAAGTGTGCAAAGCCTGTACTTAATTTCAAAGGCTTCCATTAACGCGTATGATTTAGGCCGCCTCAGTAGCCAACTCGTGCCAACTCGAAGGTACGGCTATAACCGAAAGACTTTTTCTTCAACCCAGAGGTTCTTTAACTGGTGCTGCAAAAATTTCACCGATTCAATGGTGGACTAAAACTCCTCTCACAGGATGCATAAATGGATGTTCTGCGCCCAAGACATCTTGATAAATAAATAAAATGTAATTCTTATAGTTACGTATATAGTTACTTATAGTATTACGTATAGAGCCACCGAGACGATTTTTATGACTTTTCCGTTTTCTGCGGGTAATATTTGCCAGATCTGCCGTGATAGCGAAGAGCAAGTGCAAAAATGAAGTTTTGAGAAAATGGGCTCACTAGCGACTGAGCGGAAAATTTTATTGAGAAAAGCCTCCGTTCTCTCTCAAATTCTTACCAATCATCCGAAAGGCTCTTAGAAATCGTTTGGGTGATTAAAAATCGACCAATTTTATTTCAATTATGTGAAAAGGGTATTATTCATTTTCATATTAAGTGCTATCGTCTACATGCTTTCGTGGTTGCGGTTTGAACTTACACGGAAGGGTGGCCTTTTTCTGGAGAGCACTGTTTCCATTTGCTCCTCGTAGGAATAATGCAGCTCCTATGCACGGCCGTTTTGTCTGAAACTACGTCATGTTTTGCGCATTTACGACTTTCTCATATGTCTCGTTTTCCCAAAAATAGGACGAATTTTGCTGTCTTAGCTATGTCAGTGATTCCATCTAAAAGAGATTAGACGAATTTTGAAGGAGCCTCGTTTTTCAAAATTCGAGACTTACAGCTCTCTTCGCTATCGCGGCAGAGATGATGTCGATGTTTTCAAATTTTCGAATGCTGACGCAAGTTATTTGTGCCGATAGTTTAATTTTATTTTACAGTTTTTACTAGTTCCCATTATTATACACTGGAAAAAAGATTGAAGGAATGGTAAATTCTACTAATCTTCTCGTCGATTCTACCAGAGGAATGGTTACCTGTACCAGTATATAGTAACGTTTACCTTTCTTCTGGCAGAATTGACTCTAAATTGACGCTGTGTGAAATACAGCGTGAAGGAATGGTAAATTCTACCAATTTTTTTTTCAGTGTAGTTATTCATCTTTTTTTCTTTTTTTAGTATTTTTCTCCCCAGGGACTCGCAATAACCCTTGCTCCTCGGGGGCGTGGACTGCTGAGTGGTGAGGGAGAATCCGAGAAAACAGAATTCCTTCACTCACAGATTTTTAAAAATTGATTCGTGATGTTTCAGGTCCTTTTCCGCATGAACTTCATGGCGGTGACGCTCTGCTTCTGCATGAATCGACCGTACCAATTCTACTACTTCGTGCCTCTCGTGTCGTTCTGGTTCAGCATGCTCTACCTGGTCCTCCTTACTCCACCCCGGGTGACCGCCATGTCCTGCGAGGCCAACCCCCTCCACTACCTGTACCTCGCCATCAAGATCATCGTCTTCTTCTCCCTCATCGTCATCTTGTACATGTCGGAGGTAAGTCGTCCGTCCCAAGTCGCGCCTTCAAATTCGAAGATATACCACACGCTCGACCCAGTATCATTGAAAGCCGGCCTGAAGAACTGAAGAGCCGTCAGGCTGTACTGCCGCGCTAAGGCAAAACGCCGAATCAGCCTTGAAACGTTGCCGTATTTCCCTCGATAAAAAAATAATTTACCAAAAAATTCTGATTTTTTTTCCTGCATTTTTTCAAGTAGTTTTGTCCACAATTTAATCTAAAAAATATGAAAATTTCAAGGGTAAATATGCATAGCTTTTCTCAAAAATGAATATTTTGGCGGGATAAATTTGGCAACAGGAGAATGCGCATACGATGTTCTTCCTTAGCACGGCAGCATATCGACGGTGTAAGTCGGCAATCACATAACTTGGTTTGCGACACCGCAGACTTCCTATCGTACTTTATTTTTTCAACGGAAAACTGTACTCAACGGCAATTCTTTAAAACTGCCGTGATTTTTCTTCTCTATGCGAAGAAAATTCTGCGAAAACTTCAAGGAATAATGTCAATTTGCTCTCCTTTAAAAAATAACATAGAGGTGGAGATTTTCAGACACCGCAAACGAGTTATGTGATTGCCGACTTACACCGTCAATATGTCAGAAAGACTCGTTTGAACACCTTTCCATTCGAAAGTCTGAAGTAGAAAATGTCTAGATGAGCCCATATTATATCGATGGCCAAAGAGCAAGACCATGTATTTCTTTTGTGGTGTGAGTGTTTCAAAATATCCACTCCTATTTCATTTTTTTTTTTTTTTTTTTTTTTTTTTTTTTTTTTTTTTTTTTTTTGCAGAGAAACAAGCCATCATTATAGCTTGAACTTTATTCAGCATATTCCTCTAACAGAGCATGAAAATCAAGGAGGTTTTTGAGAAATAACATTAACTAGTTTTCCAAAGGAAAAATAAAGTATGACAGGAAGTCTGCAGCATTGTAAACGGAGAAACATGGTGCACTTTGGCTATTGATATGATGAAAATTACTCACATAATATATTATGAAAAAGCAGGATTTTCCGAAGGCAATAGATATGGTCGCATTTTCTTCAAATGGTTTTGACTCCCTAAGTATCTGAATCTGATAGACAGGGTTGCAACTGACAAAGAAAACCACTCAAAGGCTTGATTCTGCGATTTGATGGTTCACAATTAATGCTAGCATCCAACCACTATTGAACCTACTTTGAGAGGTGGATCAAATATTTTGGATGTCATTATCATTCTTGCCAACATGACAAATAGAGCATTGTAGCCACTCTATACCTGGAAGGACTTTAATATTGTTGTAACAATGGTTATCAGTTACTACAAAAATCAAAGAAACCTTCAGTAGGAATTCAACTAATGTAGGCACGACTATAGTTAAAAATTCCCAGGAGCACCAAAGGGAGGCACCAATGTAAATTCCAGGAATGCGACTGGGATCCTTCTTAAATAAAATAATTACCATTTTTTAACTGTTTATTAGTTTTTGTAAACTCTCTTGTTTCATTGAAAAAGTTCTTGTTTCTGAATTTCTATACTTTGGTGCAATTAAGATATAATTTGAACTTTTGAATTCTTTCGTATGAAAGCTCAAGACTTTTCAAATAATTTAATTTTTTTAAAATTTGATTTTATTTTCTTTAATTTTTACCTCTCCTTTTTTTTAACTTTTTCAAGAACTGATCACTCTGGGAAATAATTAAGAGGATTAAATTTCATATCGAAATAGCCTAAAACTGGATTTGAAAGTGCCAAAATATCCAATATTGCACCAAATTACAATTTACCTACTTTTTAATTTTTCTTCTTACGTAGAAGTAAATTTTGGAACAAGAATAAAAGTTGAATACGTAATTTCTGGAATTGGCAGTTAACAAATAAAATGTAGGGAGACAAAAAAAAGTGGGGAAAATGTAAGTTGCTTTGAACATGCTGCACTGCTTCAAAATGGGAAAATAGTCAATACAATCGTGTAGCCTACACTGTTAACATGACATGATTGAATTTAAATTCAGTTTTAAACTTGGAAAACAACTGGGGTGAAATTGATCAAGTATTATGTCAAGTTATTCAGGACTCCTACCCAGCCTTTTGTCTTGCACTCGCCGTGTGAACTCAGACTCCTTGCTCCTTTATGATGTGATGCAATTTATGAATGGCTCCTAACGAATCCACCATCTGTTAGATGGCAAAAGTTTGTTTTTCGACGAATTGATTTTTTGAATTTCAAGATTTCAATCGTGCGTCCAATTGCGTGTTATTAACAAAAAAAATTCATATATTACCGACGATTCTATTCTTTAATCATTTTATATTTTTTCTTCTCCTTCGCAGGTTTTCTTTGAAAAAGTATTTGTTACAAGACCTTGGAAAGCACTTTTTGTAACCACAGATGATGATATTCACGAATGGTGGTTCAGATGGAAACTTGACCGATACAGGTGAGATTTGTGATTCTTAAAATCAAGACTTTATTCATTTCCTAAATATCAGTCATTTAAAGCTACTTTGATCAGTAGAGTTGCTGCTTTGTTGCTCATATTCATGGCCCTTGTTTTGAAAATAATTAAAATTGTAAATGGTCTTCCATGACCTTCCTCAAAAACTTTAAACTTGCAAATTAAGAAGACAAGTAAGTACTGCAGTTGAGGGACTTGGAGGGTAAGGCACATTAGTGCAGTTTTTGAAGAAATCCAAATATTAATGATTTTAAGTAAAACTAGTCTGAATGCATATTCTGTGAAAAATTCGCTCACAAATTCCAATTTTTAAGCATCAAAAAGTCAGTATAAACTTTCTCTCTGCCATTAAGATCCATGTAATTTCGAAACTTCAAACACACATTTTTCGAAATAGCGAAACCTACATTTATGCGCCTTGCCCTCTGAGCCCTTTAGTTAAAATTCAATATTTTATTTCCTTTCTTTTAATCTATAAGTTTGATATGTAGGCATGACATGGTGGGAAAGTATTATGTAGATGGATTTAGAAAGAACCTGTATCATCGTATTTTCATATCTTCTTAATTGAAGACTTCTGTATCATGAGGACAAGAACTAAAATATAATTTTCCTTTTTAGCACGGCCTATGGAGCTGTCTTTGCCCTTGCTCTCATGGTGGCTCAAAGGTACAACTTAGTTGATGACAACAACCACAGTAATTTATTTTCACCTCGAGTTGCCATTTGCCTGGCCCTGACAGCGCTTGCCGGAATTATTGCGAATACAATTTTTACGCTCCTCTGCTCGAACAAACCTGAATGCAATGAAGTTCACTCATACACTGTTTTTGTACCCGTAAGTGATTTTTTAAGTCAAATATAACACTCTTCAGTAAAATGAGGAAACAATGAAAAAATAATGAAAAATTACCTAAGAAATTCTGTTTTCAGCACTGCCGTTTCAATTCAAACTTCAATGCAATTGGATTTATTTCTACCAAACGGAACCAGAGACAGGTGGGAAAGAAAGGGTGTGCTCGTTAGTTAAGGGCTGCAAGAATAAATGGGAAATATAAAGCGTCATTGACATCAGTGGTGAAGAGGCCGTTGCCGTTGTCTCTTGTGGTCTGCATTAACTCATAAGCCCTGTCCAGAATGCTCTTGTTACATGTGCATGGCCCATGAGTTCCGTATTCAGTTGGCACATAGTTCTGTTTAACAGAATGTAAAATCCTGCTTTTCCGTTTTCTAAAGGGAATCATGTTCACTTTGTGCGTCATTGTTTCTTATCCAACTTTTTCGAGCACACCCCCATCTTTCCCACTTGTCTATAGTTTCATTGGGCAGAAATTCGTTCAATTCTTAAATTTTGAACTTTCATTTCTCGAAACCACAAAAATACTCCTTACTGCTTCCAGTCAGGGTTAATCCTCAACTTTCATAGATGACTCTCTGTGAGTGGCTTAGGTCAAGTTTTTAGCTTGATGCCAACCTTTGTTACAACAAAATGAAATTTCCTCCAGGAGACAGTGCACTCAAGACCTGCGGTGTTCATTTTGGAAGCAATGACTATCACATCCACAAGTCTCGACTCATCTTGAGAGGTGGGGCGAGGAATGGATGGATGCGAATGTTGATCACAAGTCATCAAAGTGCAGAGTTGAGTTCTTGACTTCTGACAAGTGTTTTTCTGTGTCATTTGGCTGGTATGTCAAATCAGGCTCAAGATTGAGCCAAATCCACTTGCAGCAATTCATCTTAAGCTTAAGTTAAATTTGAGTTTGTCAATTAAAACTCTTACAGAACCCTGCCTGAATGGTAAGCACTTGCTCAATAGGAAGTGTTCAGTGCCACTTGAAAAACACAATCGATGGGTCTGTTGTGTTCATTAGGTTTTTTCCTGCTCTGTCTTAGCAGCTATGTGAGAGATGCAACTTCTGCAGTCTTTGCTAATTTGTGCATCATTGAATGATGAAATCAAAATAGATAATACTGCATTATGCACCAATGCCATCAATAGGTGATGTCCGTTCATTTCAGCATTTACATGTTATGGGTGCATGTTCTTTCTCTTAGATGTGTGAAGAAAAATAAGTCTCAAAATGCATATTAATCGTTGAATGATTTTTCAAAAAAGAAGCTAAAATGTCACAAGAACCACCACGAAAGTTAATTTAAGTTGGGATCCTGTGTATCGGAAAGATTTTAAGAATCCATAACTTCATTTTTTAATTTACTGGGAAAATTCTGAATATTTTGCTTCAAATTTTTCGGACAGTGCAGCAAGTAATTTTATCTAAAATATCTGAAAATTTTAAGGGAAAAGATTGGAAACTTTCTTCAAAAATATATGTTTTATCAGGTAGAATTTTGCAATTCTCGAATGTTCATTTGGCATTTTTCCTTAGTTCAGCAGAACTGAAGTAAGTCTCTTGATTGCTCTCATTTTGAGTTTCACGTATATATTGTGCATGGTTCAAAAATTCTACTGCCAAAATGCATTTTTTAATTGTTCCCCTAGATCATTAGCTACATTGCACTACGGAATTTGTCCGGGATTTTGAGAACACGTTATTCTAGTCTATTTGCCTGGTTCGGGCGAATATCATTGGAACTTTTCATTGGACAGTACCACATCTGGCTGGCAGCTGATTCTTATGGAGTCTTGGTGATAATTCCGAGATATCCTGTTCTTAATGCTCTTGTTACCCTATTCATTTTCGTCTGTGCCTCACATGAGGTGAGTGAGTTTGTATTTGGTGAAATAATTTATTCCCTCCCTATCTGTTTTTTTCCCTGCTTCTTCTTTTAAATTTGTTGTTTTTTGATGATTTAGGGGGATTGTTAAAATACATCTCAAACATTTCCCTACACTTTCTATTCTAAGGATTAACTTATCATTTAATGTCGTTTAAACAAAAGTAAACACAGCCGATCCCTCTATTTGCATAAGGGAGAATTGAATGAGGGTAGAGGGGAAAGGAGGAAAACCTTAACCAACCTTGACCAATAAAATTCTGTAATTTTTTCCATGATCTGAAAAACAATGTATTCCTCAGGAAACTTGCAGTTCTTTCACCAAAAATCGTTTTTTCTCACTTTTGTGTAGGAAGATTCGTTTTCGCTCTAACCCAGTTCGCTATTTTCAATAACATTGGGCTCGTTGGAGAGCTTTCAAATGTCAACAAAATCTAGTTGTCCAGATTTGATTTCTCATAATTGGTTCACAAGAAATAAAAGAAGATGAACTTTTGGGTAAAGGTGTTATGTTGTCAGGAAAAAAATAAGTATCCTTTGCAGCCAACAATTTGATTTTAAACAAATTTTCTTGCTGAAATGCCAAAAGTATGCCTTTCAAAAGAAATATCATTGAATTGCCATCTGAATTCGTTTTCGGTGTAGGGAAAAAAGAAGAAAAGAAAAAATGTATATCATTTAGAGTTACGTACCAGGTTGTCAAATAAAATGATTTGTTTACAATCTCTGCTATCTTGGCTGTCTCTGCCTTTTCTGCAAGTCTTTTCATAAGCTTTTCACTTTACAAGAAGGCAATTTGGTTCTTACTGATGATTTCTTTGGAAAGATCCCCTTCCGAAGAAAGTCCCCTTGGTTCAATATGTTTCAGTCTCTTGAAACCCAGTTTAAAACTTCTTAATGCATTTTTCTGCAATCCCTCCTTCCGGGATCCTTCATTCATCCCTTCATTGTCCCAAAACTCAATGCGTCAGTTGCGCTTGTACCAGAATCGTGTTTTGATGATTGATCGTTAGAGATTAACTAAAAATATTAAGATCCATCCCAACAGCGATTCTCGCATGTTCAATATTAACAAAGATATCGAGCTTTGAAACGTCAGGTTTTTGACATCATCTACCGCGGTAGTGACACCCTTGGTTTCTTCCTCTTTTGTTCTATTAGTGATGCAGAGGGCGCAACTCGAAACTTCAAAGACATTAAACATAAACAAACTGAGGTAAACTGACTGACCGCCTAATCTTCTCGTGGCGAGTGCATTATCTCCTGATGAGAAGATCTTTGATATGAGAGTCTGTCCGTTTCTCAAATTTGTTTACGTTTAAAGTCTTTGAAGTTTCGCGTTGCGCCCTCTGCATTGCTGATCTAACAAAAGAGGAGAAAACCAAAGGTGTCACTACCATGGTGGATGATGTCAAATCCGGACTTTTCAAAGCGCTATATCTCCGTTTATATTTAATGTAGAAGTTGCTGTTTGTACAGATTTTATTATTTTCAGCTAATCTACAAGAATCAAGCATCAAAACACGATTCTGTGACCAGCGCAACTGACCCATTTGCAAATTGTATAGACAAATAACCTGTAAAATTCTTTTTCTCTGTTTTCAGATTCACAATATTACCTTAAAGTTATTACCATTTGCTGTTCCGTATGACTGGCGGCTAGCAGTGAGGAATATTTCAATTTTCTTATTCATCCTTATGCCTATCGCAATTTATGATGGTATGTTTTAAGCTCCTCAATGTGAACACTTAACAGGACAAAAATAGACTTTTAGACAAGGATCAAAGTTAAGCATCAAACGGACTGAATTTTGCAATTCGCAACTACAATGTCAGGCTCATTTGCAAAAGCTTTTTCGTGCTTAAAGAAACTAATGGTTTGTAATGGTTTGTTGTCACTAAACTGAGCCAGAAATTGTTGTTTCCAATCGCAAAATGCAGTCCAAATCACATTGCTTCTCATCAAAATTTCTCACAGGACTTACTGCACTGCCTTCTTGAAAAATTCAAATCACAAGTGAGAGATCAGCATTTTCCATGTCCGTAAGGTCGAAATTTCCGTTAGTCAAAAAACTGAAGTCTATTTGAAGCACCTTTGTCACCCAACTAATTACAATGTGCTTTTCAATAAAATAATTTTTTCGGAATGCTAAATTCTCAAAGGGCCACATAGAGTAATGAGCTGCACCTCCATATTTTCCTCCAGTAAATGTTTCATGGCAGTGGAATCTCACTAATCATCATTGGTGGAAGTTTCAATAACACTGCAGCAAATTTTTGAAATGGTAGAGCAATTTTCATTTTTGGGAAATAATGTGCTTGGTCGTGAGGGAACTTTTGAATTTCGCCCCTCTCTCTGTGCAATGTATTTTACTTAAGCTTAAGGTAAAGTTTTTTTTAATGCTATACCTTGTTCCTGTCTTTAATCTCTTTCGGCAAGTAGGAAGTTTGCATTGACTGCTTTTAAATCTAAACAAAAACGCACTAAATTACAAATTTTAAATCTGTGCAATACGTTCTACATGAAATTTTGATTATGTATCTTGTCCTGTTATGCAGTGATCTTTATGCTTTCTGGCGGTTTATTGATCATGCAACTTGTGGCATCATCATTGACTGTATTCTGTACTGACTTTTTTCAGTATACTCATACTTTATTGTGTACTATTTTCTGTGCATCGATAAATGATGCAGCGTCTGTGATAATGGATTAGTTATATTTTTATGTCTTTTGATTCTATTCAATGATGTTTTTTTTAGTATGTCATCGTTGATCTAGCTATTTTTTATTCTCATTCAGCGTCGCAGCTTTTTTTGCAACTGTGTGAAATCATTGTCCAAGCTTTTTTTATAGTTATTAGGAGATTCAATAGCTAAAGACTTTTGTACAGGTTACTGGAAAATTTATAGGGATCAATAATGTAATTTCAAAATACTAAGTCTCATATCCCACCGTAGAAAAAAATCATCATTGATCACTTAAACTACCGAAAAACTGCTTCACTCCTCAGTATGCTGCTCTCAGTGAATATGACATGTTGGTTACTTTAAAGTAACCTTCTCATTTACACATACTAATTCGGCGGAGGTGTTACAAAATCTCTCTATTAGTGAAAAACTTTTCGGCTAGCACATGCTAATTTCTTTTTCCCTGTTTTTAGGCTGCCAATTATAATTGAAGTTTCCACACCTTTAATAATTTTTCTCTGTTTGAAAAAAAAACATTTCAAAAATTCCATTAAAAGCCAAATCTTCTTATCCTTCTTAAGATCATCCTTAATAAATAAGGAAACCTTTCAATTGCTTAAAAACTAAAAACCTCTCAGAAACATCCTGTTTATTTTGGACCAGTAAGTAATTTTTGATGGTCCTGCACTCCCAAATAATATTTTATATTTTAGTACAATTTCTATCATAAGCTGGAAAAACAAATAATACTTTATCTTAAAATTGAATGCATCTCTCTTTAGATTCTATGCTATACATCTTGGATAAAATTCCGACAAAATTTTTTCAAGAGAAGGCTTTGATTGCTTCAGCATTCACAGATACTTATGCATCAAGTTTGCCAAAGTTAAGGGGGAACATCCGAAATGATTTCAAGAAATTATTGTTAAATGCTCAACATCAATTAATTACTTTACTGGCACATTACCACTCTCTCAAACACGGGTCACTTTGATTCTGAAAAGGGCTTTAATTCTCCAGAATCTTAATGAAATTTTGGTTGTTTCATTTTCATCTTGTTAGAAAAAAGTTATTTACGGCTAACACGTATCCTTCGATCAGACATTTTTTATTTAATTGTAAGAAAAAATTGTTTGATTTCAACAGCGGTTTGGCATCTTTTGTGCAATTTTTCTCGGCTTGTGTTTAAAAAATTTGAAGAAAATTTAGCCCATTGTCAATCAAAATGATTCCTTGCTGGTCAAAGGCATGTGATGTTTCTTTGAAGCTCTATGTCCTAATCATAGAGTACAATAGAGTCACAAAGTGCTGGAGCGCCAATCAAGTCAATACATGAGTGGGCCATTCTGAGCCAGCAATGTGAATCAAACGGCAATGATTAGCACAGCCTATAAGTTATGGAGAGTCGCGGGCCGCGAGTGGTCTGCAGTACTTATCATTTTAAATAGACAAATTAAAAAATGTACAAAACTTCCGGTTTTTATGAAATTAATTTTATACCTATCTTCTCTGAGTGAAACCTGAAGCTGGGACTTCTGCATATGACATCGCCAGTCGCCACACTCTAGTCTCACAATCAGGAGCAATAGACGAAACAGACTCAAAAAGTGACTTCACCCGTGCCTCAGCACTTTGAGACTCCATTGTACTTTATGGTCCTAATAGCTGAAGAACTTTCCATCAATAAAAGAGTAAAATTCTTGATTTAAAATTGGAGGGCTCAGCGGATGAGCATGAGATGTGAAGTTTTTGTTGTCACAGAAAAATTAAGGAATACATTTCGTAAAATAAAATAAATAAATAAAAGTAAATTCCTTATCTACTCCCAAATCCTTTAAACTATTAAAATATATAAAGAAAATGCAGACAGAACTTAACAACTCACAAGGTAGAAATATGTAAGGTCACCTCTTAACTGTTCTTACATGCACATTCTATGATTAGGCAAGTATTGTTTTACCCCTCGTAAGATACTTCATGGAGAAAAATTGTCTCCTCCAAAGTTCATCGTTAAGAATATAAATGACCATGGAGAGCAACAAATTGATTTATTAAGAAATCGCAAAATAGTTTCCTATACCTAGAGGCATCAATTCTAGTTATTACTGTATGTTAGTTGAAGAGTTGTCAGTCTATTATAAAGTTAGTGAAACAATCAATCATCGAATTTGGATGTAATATTTGTTTTCATCATTGTTCCTTTTCTTGTGTTTTTGTATCAGTTTGAGATAAATAATAATATATATTTTTCTGTTATTGAAGTTTTTTATTTAATTACATTTTACTGTTTTTCAGTTCCTTTGATTTGGGTCACGACATATTGTTCCGGAGCTGGGAAACATCCCGCTACCTTTGAACAGGGAAACCTTCCTTCTCTGTTTAAAATGTGCTTATTTTTAAATATAAGGGTCTGGCTGCCTAAGCTTTGAAGAATTCTACAAAATATGAAAATTCTGTTTCTTTTTTCTTGAACTTTAGAAGAAAAACTTTTCAGGCCCAAACACATCTACCGAAAAATTTAAAGAAAATCACAAATCTCCCTCTACAAATTTTTAGTAGAAATCCAGATTTCAGGCATGGCTTTTTTTTTTTTTTTTTTTTTTTTTTTTTTTTTTTTTTTTTTTTT